TAGGGGAGGTTGAGGGGAGCTGAGGGCAGTCTGGGGAGGTTAATGTCGTCTGGGTCGGGAGGGAATGGGGAGCACAGCTTGGGGGAGGACATGGCCATGCCAACCGTGAACAGTAATAATTGGCACCAGAGTGCGTTGTGTCTTGGCCGAGTGTCTGAACTGGGAGAGACTTGACTGGCACAGGAGCTGGTGTCGTCATGCCTTCTGTGTACTAGTGGGGCATCACTTGGCACCAGCATGACTGGTATAACACTCGGAGGGTGTCCATGCCAAGAGAATTAAGAAGAAAAAAATACTCCCATTCATATCACTGTCTCCTTCATAGGCAGTCCCTCTGGATCGAGGATGACTTGCCACCAAGCCGATTCGATGGGTTTTGAGATTGCGGATAAATCACGCATGTGATCAGTGGACTTTGTTATGTGGTGTTGATTGAAAGGTTGGTGAGATGGGTTATTTGGAGATTTGTGCACTCCATCTGACCTCCAAAATCACCTCAATGAAGTTTCAATGTGTTTGGTGCTGTCCTGGATAAACCTATATTCTGGCTGATCATAGGCTCAGATCATCCATGATTCTGTAGGCATGTTTCATTGACCTTTTCAATGATGCTTTGAGGACATCCCTAAAATGTTTCCCCACTGTCCTCTTGAAATCTTCCCCCTTGACTAAGTTCTAGTAGAGAGGTTGCTTTGGAATTTTCATGTCAGGTATGTGAACTACTTGGAACCTCTAAAGGTGCTGATCTTTGAGTAATTAGTATCTCATTGGATAAGTTGGCTTTCATATATATCATGCTTTTCATGACCAGCAGATACTTCAAAGAGTTCACAGTGAATGAAATAATTGTCAAGCTGAGACCACTTTAATATATTGCATGAACTTGAATATTGGTCAATGTCATTCCCACTTCTAGCCAAAGTAATCACGGTTTGGTAGGAGCAGTCTCTATGAGGCAACTGTGCATTAGCACGACAATATATGAGGCTAGATTTCAACCCTCCAAAGATTTTACTTGTGTAAAAGCCAACCCTCTCCATTTTAACTAAAAGTTTGGTCCTACGTACTCATGTAAAAGTTGAATTTCTATGGTAGTTGATCACAGTCTCATTCAACATGGTCAGAAATTTCCTGTTGTCTGGGTGCTATAAATTTTGTCTTTTCAGACATCTGATTGCTTAACATTACACTTCTAAACACATCTCATCAATTATAATACCAAATGTAAGGAAGATAGCACAATTTTGTGCCTGACTGCTATTGAGTAGCATCCTCAATTTGACGATTGCTGAATCACTTTGTATTGTAATTTTACAATGAGCCAGAACAAGGTGGTGTGTCCTGGGCCCACCTCTGCCAGGATGGGGATTGAGCTCCCTCCTGGTGTTGCTCTGATCCACGTACTAGCCAGCTAGCCAAGTTAACTAACCATCTATATTTTGTACTCTCCCCATCCCTCACTAAATTTGTCAATATTGAAATGCAGTGTTATATGTAACTAAAACCAGAGGATGTCAATTTGTCCTGATGTCAGTGGAAAGGAAGGACTTGCATTCATAGAGTGACTTTTATGATCTTGAGATGGTCAAAAATGCTGGTCACCAATGAAACACTTTTCAAGTGTATTCACTGGTGTAATGTTTTTAGTGTGTGGGGATAAATTATTACTCCATGCACCAGAGAGAGCTCTCTTGCTGTTCTTCACAACAGTGCTGTGAGATCTTTTATATGCACCTGAGAAAGTAAACTGGACCCAATTTAATAACTCACTGGAAAGCTGGCACTTTCGACAGTGTAGCACTCACTCAGTACTGCACTTGAATCTTGGCAGAGATTATGTCCTCAACTGTCCAAAGTGGGATTTGATCCCACAACTTTCTAATTCTAACGTGTTAGTGCTGCCTGTGAGCCACAGTTGACTCTCTTCACTGGCTAATGTCACTGATGTAATGATAACTTCTCACACCACAGGAGGCATTAGGATTTTTTGGGTTAGTAAGCCAGGCCATGGTATCAAAGGAAACAAACGTTGTAATATTTCACAAAGCAGAATGCTATAAACTTGCTTCTCAATGATACAGTCAGACTGGTCATTCTATAAAATTTGAACTCGTGCTTGGATGCCTCTGTTCAAAACTGTTTGTTGAAGAGTGACTTTTATTCAATCGCATTCCTGTTAAATTTCTTCTGCTTATTTGTCTTGTAGCCCAGAATCCCAAGGAGTAATCAGCGGTGTTGTATTCCTCATCATTCTTTTCTGTTTCATCCCTGTTCCTTTTCTGCACTGCTGGGTGAAGGAGCAATGTATCAGCTTTCCTCATGATGTGGTAAGTTATCTGCTTCTGTGCCAAAAATATTTTTGTTTGGATGGACTACTGTCATATCCCTAAGCTGGTTTTCAGTATGCTGTTCCTAACTCAAACAAAATTACCCTGTACCTTGCTTGCTTTAAGAGCAATACTGGGTGATCAACATCTGAAATTCACATGTGATCACCTAGAGACTGCTCAAACAGCAGAGAGACTGAATAGTGTTATTCCAGTCTGATCATTTGCATTACAAATGTAATAGAACACTATTGATGAATCCCGCAATCATAATGCCACCATATAACCTTTAACATTACAAAAAAGATACACTTCAAGCAAATACCTCATTGACTGTAAAGCACTTTGAGTCTGCCATGGTCATAAAAAGCCACAATACAAATGCGTGTGCTTCATTATGACCTTGAAGTATTTGCCATGTTTTCCCAAAGCTTGGAGGTATAATACTGCCATCAGTAATCCTTGCTGTTTCAGTAACATGGAACTGGGTATGATTCATTCGTGAACCTTCGACAATCCATCATCTCCTGTGCTTCATCTCCCAGCAGTTACATTGCGAACCAGTTCCTTTAACCTGACAGTTCTGTGCTTCCACATCTCTGATGTTGGGCTAAAGGAACTGATATTAGTATTGAATTCCATCCCTAAGCCCCTCCACCTCACTTTCCTCCTTGAAGACACTTCCTAAAGCCTACCTGTTGAACAAAGCTACTGGTCATCAGATCTAATATCTCTGAATGTGGCTCAGGTCATTGAGTACATTTAAGACTGAGATAGATAGGTTCTTGATTATCAAGGGGATCAAGGGTTACAGGGATAAAGCAGGAGAATGGGATTGAGGAACTTATCAGCCATGATGGAATGGCAGAGCAGACTCGACAGGCTAAATGGCCTAATTTCTGTTCCTATGTCTTATTGTCTTATGGTCTTATTTGTTTTTTCATGGTCCTGTGATGCATCTGGGATGTTCCATAATTGTTTTGTTATTCCATATACCTACAGCCTTGGGGGATGAAAATTCAAGGCTGTTGTGAAAAAGTTTTCTTCTCAGTCTAAAACAAGTTTACAGTCATCTTTTCATTAAGCTTTTGGTCACCTGTCTTTGTATTGTTTTTATGTAGCTTTGTGTCACATTTTATCTGATGACAGTTCAGTGTGTCTCGGAACGTCTTGCTATATTAGGGATGGTGTACAAATACATAAATACATAAATATATGGTACATAAATACATTTGCTGTTAGGGCAAATATTTTTCACATGCCTGCCCCAACAAGCAAAATTGTCGTTAGTATTTAGTTTTACAATGGTCTCAATAAATAGCAGACAAATTGCAAACTTTCATGAGACAAAAGCACTACATGAGGAACAGACATATTTTACTTAGAGTGCACTTGGGGTGTCATGGGAAGATATGAGGCCACACTTCTTACAACTCCCCACAGTCGGGTGTCCAGATAGTGTAGAATGAAACTCAGAAGACGGAGACATGGTGTCAAAATTGCTGTAACGTACCTCTTAGCAGTCTTCCTGAACATCTGGCGGTAGCAGTGTGAACTGAAACTGGCACTTCACAGAAGTTTATGCTGTGACCCACAGGAAAAAGAGAGACAAAATATGAAGTCATTGCTAAAAATGTCGATTTTTTTTTAATGCTGTGATTTTATTTGAATTTGTGCTTTCAGTTTGTACAGCTGATTGGGGCACTCCTTGTCATCTGCTGCATGATATTCCTGGGGTTCGCAGATGACGTCTTGAACTTGCAATGGAGACACAAGTTGCTACTGCCGACCATGGCATCCCTGCCTCTTCTCATGGTGTACTTTACCAACTTTGGTAATACCATGATTGTGGTACCAAAGCCATTTCGCTTTCTTTTGGGTCTTCATTTAGACTTGGGTAAGTTCTGAAGCTTGGAGTCTCCCGCCTGCTAGTAGCTGCTGTTCAGCTAAAGCAAAACCAGAATTTACAAATCACTTTGATCTTTATTCTGTCTGATGTTTTGCAGATTTGTGAGAAAGAGATACAGTATTTCTATTAGACTGGTCTTTAGCATTTTCTAGTGTTACCAGGATTCTACTCTGGTTAATTTTATGTTTGTGACAACATGGAATTAGTGCGGCAACTTTACAAAATGTTATGCATTGACAAGCCAATCTGTTTCCTTCTTGTAAGCAGGCAATATTGAACTCGGACTGAGTTAGGCTGGTCATTTACGGTTGGACATTTATAATGGACATTGGCGTTATAAATAGAGGTTGAAATTCATGTGTTCAGGACCACTGCGATGTCAACTCATTGGGGGGAAACTGCCATAGGGCCAAAGGAGGATGGAACCGTGACTAGTGAATCTAGCACATAGTTAGAGGACAGTAATCTCAAAGGTAAAATCCCAATAGTCCTACCAAACAATTTGAAAGATATTAGATGACCGGTGATGGTTTAACCGAAAGGTCACCACACCTGAGGTGAAGGGAGAGGTTTAGAGGGAGGGTCCTTCATGATGATTTCAATCAGTGCAAGAATTGACACTGTGTTGTTTGGCATCACTCTGCATCGCAAACCAGCCATCCACCAGCTTGAACTAAACGACTCTGTAGTAATCTTAATCAGGAAGTCATGAGCAGGCAGATCGATGTGGATTTGTAACCTATATGGAGAGGTTTCTGTTCTGATTTTTGTTTGCTAGTTTTGCTGATATCGCATTTGGGTGTGCAGTAATATAGCCATGAGAAATGGTAGGCAGCCAGTATTTATGTTCTCTTTTAAGTAGCAGCTAGAAAGAATTCTTACCATAAGATAACTAGCATTATGCATGTTTTAGATCTGTTTTAATTGAGAATTAAGATATTCTTGGTGTAAAGCAATGTTGTAAGCTTTAGTTTTTTGAGGGTCAATAGATTGAATAACAGATCAAATGGATTCTTTCTCGATTGGACATACCAAATAAATTCCTGTGTAAATATCCATCTTTATGTTTGTTATTCCCTTTCAGGAATCCTGTATTATGCATATATGGGAATACTGGCAGTGTTCTGTACAAATGCTATCAACATTCTTGCTGGCATCAATGGCATTGAGGCTGGACAGTCTCTAGTGATTGCCACGTCCATCATTGTTTTCAATTTAATCGAGTTAAATGGTAAGTTGACCGAAATGTAGAGTTTAGATGCTTTAGCCTCGTGTTCTCGGAGGCGGGACATTTTCATTTTACTCTACGTTTGTGGCTTGTGTTATTTTCCTGATTCCAGTTGATTGTTTTGAAAATGCCATGACACTTTGCCCCTAACCTCATAGGTTCAGCTTATGTGAAATCATGGACCATCATTTTCCAGTAATAATTTGGAAGAATTGATTCAGGATTTGAAATATCCTAACACCCAAGATTTTAAGGGAACCTATCAACTAGATATAAAATGTAGATGCATTGATGATTCACAGAATAAGGAAAAATTATGAAGCCTTTTTCTATCCCTTATTGAAATCTTCAAGATATGAAGTGGAAAAGATAGGGTAGATAAAGGTTGGAGTGTCTAGAACTAAGGAGCATAGTCTGAGAATTAGGGCTAGACTGTTCAGGAGAGATGTTAGGAAGCACTTCTGCAACAAAGGGTGTTAGATGTTTGGAACTCTTCTGCAAAAGACAATGAATGCAGGATCAGTTGTTAGTTTTAAATTTGAGGTTTTTTTTTGTTAAGCAAAGATTTTAAGGGATATGGGCCAAAGGCAGCTATATGGGATTAGGCCACAGATCGACCATGATCTCATTGAATGGCGGAACAGGCTTGAGGGGCTGAATGGCCTACTGCTGTTCCCATCATAGGTTGAACTGTAGCTACTAGCTGCCTTATGGAGTTGTGAAAGGCATGTTTTAGATAATGTATAAAAAAGGTGAGGGTAAAACATTAATTAAATGTTCGAGTTGCAGCCATATCGTTGGCCATGCAGACTGTGTACCTAGCTCGAAGATCTTTGTTGAAATAAGGAGACAACAAGGGACAGTGCTGCATTCCCTTGCACTAATATTCTTTGCACTTGAGAGCAAAAAAAATCTGTAGGTAAGGATCAGGAGGTTTAGAGACAATTTGAGGATTTTTTTTTCCACCCAGAAGCTGGTGTGTATCTGGAACTCACTGCCTAAAAGGAGGTTGAGGCAGGAACCCTCAAGGCGTTGTAGAAGTATTTAGATGAGCATCTGAAACACCAAACAGAAGGCTACAGGCTAAGTACTGGAATATAGGATTAGAGTAGATAATTGCTTGATGACCAGTGCAGACATAATGGGGTGTATCTGTGTTGGCTGTTCTCTCATTAGAGAGAGACAATTGGTGGTGGTTTAACCTGTGGGTCACCAAACCTCAGCAAGGGGCAAAAAAGTGGGACCCTAATGGTGACTTGTGCCAATTTGGGAATTGAACTATATGACTCTTTGACCCTACTTTAAGTTTTCTATCTAAAGATCATCAATATGACTGAAACGGTTTTTATCTGCACAGATGCTGCTAGACCTGCTGGATATTTCCAGTGTTTTCTATTTTAGAGTTTAAATTGAATTTTCACAGTAGCATTCTGACTTAGTATTCTTTAAAAAGGCAAAACATATAAATACAAATTACTAGTTAGGCCATAAGACTTATAAGAAATAGGAATAGAAGTAGGTAGTTTGGCTCCTTGAGCCTGCTCCGCCATTCAGTAGAATCATGGCAGATTCAACATTCCTCAAGTTCACGTTCCCCCCCTTTCCCTGTAAACCTTGATTTCGCTTGCCAATCAAGAGTTTATCTTTCTCAGCCTTAAATGTACTAAAGGACTCTGTCCCCGCAGTTCTCTGTGGCAAGGAGTTCCAAAGACAGTCAACCCTCTGACAGAAGAAATTTCTTCTCTTCTCAGTCTTTAATTTACGAAGTTGCACATCAAAAATGACACTCTCACTTTAGACACTTTCCCTACGTAACAACAGCTAAAGCGTAAAAAGATAGTTCATTTTATATTAAACTCTTTGGCTGATCCAAACGATGTTTTAAAAAACATTGTATGAACACCAAGCTCATTCTTTTACCATTTGACTCAAGCTAAGCACAAAAGTCGGTGGAATTAACTACCAAAAATTTGACCTCTGATTTGTACTCTTGGCCAGTCCTAGCCTGGGTGGTGCTATAGGTCAGACAGTTGGTCTTAGCCATCTGAAGTCAGGGAGGGCAAAATTTGGATGTCTCTCTTGGTTGAAAGCTGCTAGCAGTGATGAAGAATGCAAGTCTGTGTAAAGTGAGGCCATAGTGACGCTCGGAGGCCTGACGAAAAGTAATGAAGAGAAAAATTTTGAGAAGACATTTAAAAAAAGACTGAGAGAAAGCAAGATGGAGGGATTAAAGAAGGGAGTTCAAGTAAGATAACAGCACGGTGATCGAGAATATGGGGCAAACTATACAGGGATCATGATAAGGGATCAGACCAAGGTCAAGAGCAACTAACTAAGGAAGGAGAAATGGCTGAGGAAGTCAAAAGTGGGACGGGGAGCGTTGCTGGGAAAGAATTTGCGAATTTATGTAGCACCTTTTTAATAACCTCAGACTCCCAAAGTTTAACTAACAATGAAATACTTCTGAAGTGTGGTCACTGTTGTAATGTAGGAAATGCTGGAGCCAGTGTGATAATTAGCAGATAATCAGGATATCTTTGGGTCAGGCCACCTATGGCAAAATAACCTGTCAACAAACATTTATATTAGATTATCCATTTGGTTGGGGCACCCTTGGAAACACATCCCAACACCAGTTGATGGAACAGACTTGAGGGGATGAATAGCCTCAAGGTTATGGTGGTTGCTACGAATTGCTTTGTTTTGGAAATTAAATGGATCGACTTTTGTTTTTCTTCTCAGAGTGTCAGAAAAGCAACATCTTTTAGCTGTAAATTGATATTGAAAATAAATGAAGGAAAACTTATATGGAACGATTAAACCAAGAGATTACAACTGCTCTGGTTAATGGTATTCTCTCTTGCGTATGGGGTAAATATTAACAATTTTTTTCTCCCCTTTTAGGTGACTACAAAGATGACCACATATTCTCCTTGTACTTCATGATACCATTTTTCTTCACCACGTTAGGACTGCTGTACCATAACTGGTATGATAACTTATTACATTACTGTTGTTTCACTTCACACAATTAACACTAGGTGCAGATGCACCCAATCCTTGCAAGTATCAACTCAGAAAGTGCACATTAGCCAACAATCATGTTTGCACTGATGTTTTCTTTTTCCTGTGCATTTCTTGGATTAGGCCTTCTCCCTACTCAATAAGTAAAATATGCATCAAACAAACGATGTTCAAAAGGGAACAGGAAGGCAGCAACCATTTGCAAATAGATTGTAGCTTGTGACCAATAAAACAAATAGGGTGGAGTTTAATTCTTGAAGTTCATTTTGATGTTGTAAAATTGATTTCAAAATATAAATGTTACAGCACAAAATCCGGCAATTTGGACCAACTGGTCAGGGCTGGTGTTCATGTACTACAGAATCTCCTCCCAAGTCTATCTCATCCAACTTTACCTGCATATCTTTCTAGTCTTTTTTGTGTATTTTGCTAGCTTCACCTTTAAAGGTGCTTGCTGTTTGTCTCAGCCACCTCCACATGATTGAGTTTCACATTCTTAACCACACTGAGTAAAGAAGTTGCTCTTCAATTCCGTAACAGATTTATTAGAAATTAACTTCTGTTTAAGGCCTTTTTGGGCTCCCTACAAATCCATAAAGCAATTTGATTGTTATTGTATGTCGTATTTGTTTTACATGAAACTAGCTGTTCCAGTCTCAAGTGGGAAGAATATTTGCTTACTATCTGCTCTATTTGAATATACAGTACTTATAAGGCATCTATTCAAGGACTTCCATGTGAGGATGATTCTCCAGGTATTGCAGCAATCTTGGAGATCCCTAATTTAATTTCTTAAGTATACTTGTCAAGCTCAGAACCTCGAAACGTAGGCCATTCAAGTCCTCGAACCAGCTTCCCATACCCAAATTATTGATATCAGATTGTGAACAGCTAGGTGCTAAGCACCAATGAATGCACTACCACACTACTCACAGCCTGTCACCCTGAAAATGACCTATTTATTCTTCCGATCATTAAGCAACCCTTAACCCATGCCATTACCCCTATCTCACGTGCTGTAATCTTGTTAACTAACCTGTTTGGAGCTTTATCGAAAGCCTTTTGAAAATTCAAGTACCTGAAGAATAGTTATACTATTTCTACATAGAGCATCCTGCCACATCCTGTGAAAGGATACATTTTTAAAAATTCCTTTTCCAATTGCTAAGTGCAAGGAAAGTCCAACTGAATGGACTGTCATGCCATGCCTTCATATCCCTTTGAAAAAGCCAGAAACTGCAGCAAAAGAAAGGGAAACTACCTTTAAAAAGAAACTGAATATGGGATCACTGCGTGTATGCAGCGTCAGAACAGAGGGGGAATAGGTAGTCGAATTCCTTTTTCCACGGTGATTTACTCTATGCTGGAAGTTTGGAGATATGTCACAGTTTGTTGGTGGCACAGTGGCTGAGTAGTTAGCACTGCTGTCTCACAGCACCAGGGACTTGGGTTCAATTCCACCCTCGGGCGACAGTCTGTGTTTGCACATTGTTCCTGTGCCTGCGTGGGTTTCCTCCCACAGTCCAAAGATGTGCAGGTTAGGTGCATTGGCCATGCTAAATTGCCCATAGTGTCCAGGGATGTGCAGGCTAGGTAGATTAGTCATGGGAAAAGGGATAGCCTGGGGGGTGGATCTAGGTTGGATGTTCTTCGGACAGTTGGTGTGGACTTGGTGGGCCAAATGGCCTGCTTCCACACTGTCGGAATTCTATGATTCTATTCAATGAAAGCTGTTTTGACCTGTACTCCTTCATGTGCTGCAGGTATCCTTCTAACGCCTTTGTGGGCGACACTTTCTGTTACTTTGCGGGAATGACATTCGCAGTGGTTGGGATCCTTGGCCACTTCAGTAAGACCATGATGCTGTTCTTCATCCCTCAGGTGCTCAACTTTCTCTACTCGGTACCTCAGCTCTTCCGTATTGTTCCATGCCCACGACACAGACTGCCGAGGTACATTCACGTTTACGTACCAGATGTACATTTGTAAGAACTGGAGTGAGACTCTCTTCCAGGAAGCATGCTATTTCTGATGGAGGGAACAAATGTGCGACCTCTTGGTGAACCTTTGTCAACCAACAAATTATAATGAAGCAGGTTAAGGCCACTGAGATACCATTTTGAAGGAGCACAAAATGTTTTCAAATGCATTGTCAGTATCTAATATTAACCTTTAAATACTGAAACTTGGGAGGATGGGATGTGAAGGAATTCCAGTTTGCTTCTTGCACATTTAACCATGAAGTTGTCTTAGATACTGTGTAAATATGTCTACAAATAGACCTCGTATTACATGTACAGAATATGTAATATGTGGTGGAAAGCAATGTATTAATCATATTTCACTTTCCTTCGCTGCTTTCACACCCAGGTTAGATCCTCGTACTGGAAAACTGGGCATGAGTTACTCAAGATTCAAAACTAAGGATTTGCCTAGACTTGGAGATTTCATATTAAGGGTACTTGTTTTATTAACTGCTGTGTTTTCTGTGGCCTTTGTTGGGGTGGAATGTCTTGTAACTGAATTTATCATTATGATCTGAATAAGGTTATAGCACCATGCCAGGAGTAAGTAAATTTAACAGGTGTTCTTGTAAGAGAATACAACACCAAATTTGGTTTGGAAACACGACTCTGTTGCCAGGTTGCCTGCAGCCAACTTTGTATTACATACCCCATTTAGTTCCTTTGCAACTTTTGCTTTAAAACTAAATGTATTTCCTTGTAGCAAATTCAAGTCTTGATGGTGTGAAATAAAACCCATTGTCACTTCTGAAATCATGTTAATCGAACGTAGTTATCACACCTTCCTGAAATCTTCTGCATTCAAGGAACAAAATACTGAAAATGAAATGGAACAGCCTTCTACACATGCCACCATTATGTATTTAACAATAACAAGAGTCTGAAGTGATATGCTAATGCTACGTGAAATGCAGCATTTCAGATACGATGAGGTTCCGTGTAAATATAAGTTCCTCTTGAGTTAAAGTGGCAGATTTTGCTCATTGGTAGCACCTGTGCCTCTGTCGGAATGATGTCCAATTACTTTAATATAAAAATTGAGGTTGACATTCCAGGGCAGCGCTGAGAGAATACAACAGTCAGAAGTAGTATTTTTCCAATGAGGCTTTAACAGATGTCCTTTCTACCCATTCAGATGGATGAGAGAGATGCAGCAGTGTTCAAAGAAAAGTAGGGGAGCTATCTCTTATAAAAACAGAGAGTGCTGGAGAGTCTCAGTAGATCTGGCAGCATCTGTGGAGAGAGAAGCAGCATTAACATTTCAAGCCCATTCACAGGGTGATATCAGAGTTGAAACGTCAACTGTTTTTCTCCATGGATGCTGCCAAACCTGCTGTGCTGCTCCACCAGTTTGTATTTTATTTCAGAGTATTTGTGTTCACTGCATTTTACTTTGATTTGAGTTTTCCAGCTGTCTTTGTCAATGTTTACCTCTCAAGCGACATCACTAAAGCAGATTATCTGGCAATTATCAAGTTGTTCTTGTGGGAGTTTGCTACGTGCATTTCCTATATTAAGCACTTAAAACGTTTTAAATTATAAACATTATTGTATGTGTAGCACTTTGTGGCATATTAAGAAGCTGGGGCATCATAGAAATAGAGTTTCATTTTCTTTTAATCTAGCCCATCATTTTCCTCCTCCTGATGTTGCGTCTGCTGGTTACAGATTTTGTAGTGATAGCAACAACTTATTTTAGTTAATTTTATTGTACTATTATCTATACGCCACTGTCAGGTTTCTATTTTATGTGGATACTATTATTGAATAATTTAGACCGAAAGCTGTAAATCTATTTGCTTCTGATTTGATTTAAATTGCTTTTAGAAAGTCTAATTCATGTTATTTGCACTACAGTGATTTGGTTGTTTATGATCAATATTTAAAATTACAATCTAAGGAATAAATAAAATTGTACTTCCTAAATGAGCGAAAGTTATGTTTGCTCAAAGTGAGACAAATCAATACAAAGCACCTTTCTCAATGGGAGTACCAGCTAATCTCACCTAATGAGCCAGTCACAGAGATCATCAGACCAAGATCATGTGGAGGGAAATCTTTCTTTAAAATAAGCTGGGAAGCAGTGAAGACTTCAATTTGGTAATGAATGCTAACACTGTTTTTTGTAGGTGGCTGACAAATTCCAGCTGGCAGATGTGAAACGTGGAATTGGAGAAAACGACGAGTACACAGAGTGCAACAACCTCACTCTGCTAAACTTTGTAATAAAGCTGATCGGCCCAACACATGAGAGAACCCTGACCATTATACTTCTGCTCATCCAGGTGAGAGTTGCTACAAGCAGCAGAAACTTCGCACCAATTCCACTTAACCAATAGAGCAGATGAAAGATGTTTTAAAGTGTTAGTTGTTGCTATGGAGACAAAGTTGCTTTGGGCGGCATTAGTGGTTTCTTACAATTTTGCTGTAATTCCTTGTGTTTATTTGTAAATGGTTAAACATAGCTTTGCCAAATTCACCAAAGGTAAATCTTGTGACCTGTGATCCTGAACAAAGCCCATTACGTCCTATTCACCACAGCTAGTCAGTAAGTGGAGCAGAGATTTTTTAATAACTATTATTGGCTTTAGGACAACAGGGTAGAAATCAGCCTTTTGCAGGATTATAAAGTTTGCTGTATCACCAAACATTGTTTTAACCAGCACCCTCAATAAACCGGCAAAAATTATCTACCTGACATAACAGACGTTTACCGTACTACCACGATGCCTGAGTAATCAGTTCAGGGTGCAAATTCGAAGGTTCTATGCTGGTAATTTTTATTTCAGGCAGAGTTGCAATTTTACTTAAGTGATTTATTCTGCAAATAAAGAACAGAGTGTGCGAACCCCCTGCATTACAATCATTTCGGCTAAACTTGCAGTCTTTCTGAGCAGTTCTTCCAAATTCTAGGTAGAAAATTATTGCACTGAATGCATACATTTGTGAAATTTACAAGAAATTGTTTTTATGTTTGATGTTTGTGACCCCTGGAGTTTGAGAGTTTTGTTTCCTGTCTATGGCCTGGCACCAGTTAACAGTGGAGGAGGCTATAAATAAAGGACACAGTTTAAGAATAAATTGTCTCTTTTAGGACAAAGATGGGGTGACATTTCTTTCTCTGTGAATCATTAGTCTATAGAATTCTCCTCTTCAGTGGAGATAGGGTCAGTGAATATATTTATTCAAGGCAGAGTTTCATTGACTTTCGATGGAAAAGGGAGTGTGTGGTAATGAGGTGAGGGGAGACAGGAAAGTGATGTTGAGACCACAACCAGATCAGCCATGATTTTATCAAATGGTGAAGCAGATGAAAGGGCTGAATGGCTACCTCCTGATATTAGTTACTATGTTTTAAATTGCTAAACTTAAACTGTGGCACCAATTTGACTAAATTTGTAGAATTAGATGCATTTTATATTTGTTCAACTTTGCAAAAGATTCAGGGAGACAACTCAATTTAAATATTTTGCTTGTTCTGTGCTTTTAACCTTGCAATTTTCTTCTCAACCCCATCATCCAGGTCACTGGAAGTGCTTTTGCTTTCACAGTCCGTTATCATCTGGTCCGCTGGTTTTACGATGTTTGATTCTCAATCAAAAATACTTGAGATGTAGTATGGGTTATTCCTATTCTGGGAGTGAGCTATTTTCCTTATTCCCCCATACTGGAGAGTTAATCGCTACTGTAGATGAATGTAATTTTTTTTTTGTCTATTTCCGGTATCTATTGTCTGACTGTTAAATAATGTGCCTAAGAATTAAGTTTGAAGATTTTTGGTTCAATTTCCTTAGAAATTTTTGGAATCAGTTGATGGAATAGAGAATGTATAGTGACGGTTCTGTTTTTATATTTTAAGGGATCACTTGAAATAACATGGCTATATGTTTTCTCCAGTTTGTATGGGGATAATTTTAAATTCAATGTAAAATTTCCCTGAGTATGCACTTGGTGTATTGCACACCTCGTTGATGTATGTTCCTGCAAAATTCAGTGCAATATTTAAGGACTTTAGTTTATTTTACAGTGAGTACAGTATTTAAAAAGTACCTTAAAACTTGAAATCTTTGTCATCTTGAGACTAATTCTCACCTTCAATTATCTTTGTTCGTGTGATTCTGGGCTCTAATGTGCAGTAAGACACAAGCTCCTGTATTATTGCACTTCCCTGTTTAGACTTGGACATTTGGCATCCTGATTTAAATTCAGTCATAAAATATCCTTTCCAATTTCTTGTAACAGTGTTAGAATTTAAATAGTGTCTGTCACTGTTCATGCACTGGATCTTCAGTGGTATGAAAATTTTGAGAACCAAGAACAGTCCTCACTTAGACAGCAGTGTACACTGGCAGTAAGTGAGATCCCATTGATATACCTGAGCCTCCTCCCAAAGACTGTGCAGCTTGAAATTTTGAATATGGTGTGACCAAATATTAAGATGACTCCATTGCCAATAACGCTAGATATGATATCAAAGGGCCTGTGTGCTAGCCTATGCAACAGGGAACATCCATTTTATAATTTCAGGAAAATATAAAATTGAACACAGGTGAAAAGAGAACATTGCAATCTAGTTAGGTGACACATTCTCCAGTGACTCTTGCAGTTTTCCAGAATATGCAAACATTTTTGGCAGTGTCTAAGATACTGCAAGAGTTGTAAACGCTCCATCAGTCAAAGATAATAGTCTGGCCAGAATGCTGGTTAAATTGCCATCCTGCTTTAAAAGGCTAACTCCAGTCAAAAGGCAGGGATGGCCAAGCAGCTCCTACAAAGTAGTTTGTACATTTAAGGCATGTGGTATTCCTACGAGCCATGGCTGGTAATGAGTTTGCTATTAGGCAGTCTGTTGCCAAGGTCAAAAATCCAAAGAAATTGCTTGTCAGTTAAACAAAAGCAAAAGACTGCTGGAAATCAAAAAATAATGACAGAAAATGGGAGCATTCAGGCAACATTTGTGGAGAAAGAAACTGACTCAACATTTTTTAGGCTGGTCAACCTGAAGCATTGACATCATTTCTGTCTCCACAGATGCTACCAGACCTGCGGATTGTTTACAGCATTTTTGTTTCTAATGCTGTTGTTTAGTTTTTTTTTGAGAAAGACGAGTGTCATACTTGGAGACTAGGAATGAATGTATAAGCAAACTACGCAGTGCATGAAGCTCACAGAAATGTTGCTTTGAAATATAACTGGTACGCTTCAAGTGATAGTGATTTGTTTTTAACACTTTGGAATTCACATCAACCTGGAACCAACTTACTTGAAAATGCACAAAATTATTATGTCAGTCTTGATGGGATACTAATAACCAATCTGAACTGGGCACTTATTTAATATTAGTTTGCATCAGAAGCAGAAATCCTGTTGTCTGGATATTTTGGGTCTGAGAGAGACACTTTTCACTGTGAAGATGAGCTGTTGCAGGCTATGCACATGGTTACTGAAGTTATTTACCTACTGTTTAGAAGTCCTTTGTGTGAATAATTCACACCTTCTCTGTTAAATTTGCTGTTGCTCTGGTATGACCTCAATTCAGTGCATGGTAACTGGAAAGATTAATGATTGAATAATTGATTAAAGTGCAAGAGCATATCGCTTTTTATATGCAAGATTATATGAATTGTGTGTAGGTGTATAATTGAGACTTGGATACTTTGGAATTTAGGTAATATAAATGGCAAACGTGAGTTTGACAATTGTGACTTCAGTATCTAAATAAAATCTTTAAAGAAAGGAACTAATGAGAGCACTGTTTTTATATCAACCCAATAAACATGGAATAACAAATTTGAAATGAAACAATTTTGTGGTGCTTTATTAAGTAAAGCACGAGTGAATATTGAGGATGAGCTTTGTTCTGGGGGCCAAACAAAAAGAAAATCTTGTATTTATAGGGTGCCTTTCTCCAACTCGGCTCATCTCAAAGTACTTTACATCCAATGCAGAAATAGTTCATTTTGCTCTTTAAGCCTGTTCTGTCATCATGGCTAAACTGTGATCTAATTCCATGTACACACTTCGGCCCTCTATCCTTTAAAAATTAACTTCAGATAACACAACTTGTCAACCTCAGATTTAAGATTATTAATTTCATATCATATACAACTCAAAACATGAACTCCATTTCTCTTTCCAGTTTCTCCAGCACTTTGCACTTACTTGCTGCTCTTGAGAGAATGTCAGAATTAGCAGCAAGAATAAGCCCTTTGAGGCCAGTAACCCTTGCCTACATTTTCATTGAAGTGACATCCTTGGTTCAGTCAGTAGTCATAGATTCGTAGAGCTGTACAGCACAGAAACAGACCCTTTGGTCCAAGTCGTCTATGCCGACCAGATATCCTAAATTAACCTAATCCCATTTGCCAGCATTTGGCCATAGCCCTCTAAACCATTCCTATTCACATACCCATCTAGATGCCTTTTAAATGTTGAAATTGTACCAGCCTCCATCACATCCTCCGGCAGCTCATTCCATACATGCACCACCTTCTGTGTGGAAAAAGTTACCCCTTCAGCCCCTTTTAAATCTTTCCCCTCTCACCTTAAACCTATGCCCTCTAGTTTTGGACTCCCCTACCCTGGGGAAAAGACCATGACCATTCAACCTATCCATTGCCCCTCATGCTTTTTTAAACTTCTAATAAGGTCACACACAGCCTCTGATGCTCCAGGGAAAATAGTCCCACTTATCCAGCCTCTCTCTGTAGCTCAAACCATCCAACCCTGGCAACATCCTTGAAAGTCTTTTCTGAACCCTTTCAAGTTTAACAACATGTTTCCTATTGCAGGGGGACCAGAATTGAATGCAGTATTCCAAAAGTGATCTAACCAATGTCCTGTACAGCTGCAACATGACCTCCCAACTCCTATTCTTGAGGCACTGACCGATAAAGGCAAGTGTACCAAACACTGCCTTCACTAATCCTGTCTACTTGTGATCCCCTTTCAAGGAACTATGAACCTGCAGTCCAAGGTCTCTTTGTTTGGCAGCATTCCCCAGGACCTTATGATTAAGGTCGTATCTGTAGTCTGATGCATGAGTCACAGAATTCTCGGAAAAATTCCTGCTCCAAGGCTTGAATACAAAAGTAAATGCTGATATACCTGTGCAATACAGGAGGTGGTGTTGTCTTTCAGCTGAGATGTTGAACTGAAGCCTGTCTGTCTGCCAGACCAATATTATCCCTCAACAAACATCACAGCAAAAAAGTCTAGTTGTTATCACATTGTAAAGTGTTTTGTGACATAACAGTGATTGTGAAAGACACAATGAATGCAAGGTTTTTTTCTCATACTTGAAGTAGCACATAGAAACAAATTTCTTCCCAATTATCTCCACTTTTTTTCCAGAATATTTAAGTTTTGTTTTAACAGACAGTCTTTTTTTTTGTCTTGCACGGTAACTTCAATTTTTTTGGTCTCTTTTCTGCAGTGTTTACATCATATACTACTGAGTAATTGTTTGAACCTATAACTGGAGATGCCTAACTATATGATAGTCACTACTAAATCAGGTGAGAAATTCAGGAAGAATCTTTACCTAAAGAGTGATCATAATGTGGAACTTAATTCAAAAGGTGATTAGTAGTATAGCTCCATTTAAAGCAAAGTAGATGCATGTGAGACAAAAGCATAGAAGGAAATGTTGGTAGGCCTAGATGAAGAATGGTTGTGCAAGAAGGTTCATGTGGAGCCTGTGGCAATAATCCAGAACCCCAGGTTAATATTCTGGGGACATGGGCTTGAATCCCACCATGGCAGATTGTGAAAATTAAATTTAATAAAAATCTGGATTTTGTTTTTAAAAGCTGCCGTAATGGTGACCATGTAACTTTTTTAAAAGCCCATTTGGTTCACTAATTTAGGGAAGGAATTTCTGCCATCCTTACCCAGACTGGCCTACAGGTGACCCGCACCAAATGTCATTCACTCTTAACTGTGCTCTGGGATCAGGGATGGACAATAAATGCTGCCCCTAAACATGAGCAAATAAGAAAAATAATAAACGCTGGCATAGACTGATTAAGCCGACTGGACCTGTTCAGAGATATTAAGACATTCCTCTGGACCAGATGGGAACCGAATCCAGATAGAGGTAGCAGCAGTGCTAGTGTACCACAAAATCTCTCCTGCCTTGGCTCATACCGTGCGTGTAATTCCTGTCCCGTGGTGGGGAGGGGGAACGTTTATTTGATATTTGACGGATCCGTCCGGACGGTGAACCAGCCGGACACGGCTATTCACCAATCAGAAACAAGTATCGACCGAGCCGATTGTTGATTGGTCAGCCATCCCGGAATTTCACCTGTGATTGGAGGAAGTTATGTCAACCAGAGCGGCCTGCCGCCCGGCTGCGGGGAGTTTCGACCCGTTTTGAAGGAGGGGAACGATTAAACGAAACAAACAAACGTCTAATCCTAGGGCGATGTGCTACTTCTGTATTTCTTTTCATACAATCCGGGGAGAGAAAGGGCGATTCCGACGGGCGGCCGTTACCGTTTGAACTGGCGCAGGCGCGAGGGGCTGATATCCGATTGGCTCGCGCGCCGGATGTGGCGCGCGGGCGCCGCCGAGTCCACGCTTCCGGTGCTAGCACTGCCCTGAACTGGGGCTGAGAGCAGGTGAGAGGGTGAGGAAGGAGAGAGAAAGAGGAAATGAAAGGTGAGGTGGGCAAGAAGGAAGGAAGAAGTAAGTAAATAAATAAATAAATGGAGGAGAGAGAGAGAGGGAGGGAAAGAAAGAAGGAAGGAAAGCGAGAGGGGTTAGGGAGAGGATGTGGGGTGGGGGAGGCTGAAGGTGAGGTTACAGGGGAGGTGGGTGTGAATGGGCTGAAGTGAGCAGTCTTCCCCCAGCTCCTCACTGCAACCCCTCCCAGGCTTCCACCCTGTTCCTGTGGAAAGGTGGAGGAAACTGCTGGGAGGTGGTGGTGGCAGCAGGATTAATTTTATAGATTTCCTCCTCACCACCATCCTCCACCTCTATTTTTTTTTTGTTTTGCCACTTGTAAAAACGCAACAAAGGGTTGAGATGATCGCCAAACAAATTTGGTGCCACTCTGTTGTAACCCAGATGTCTGAGGGCTTTCCCCATCCATCCCCAATCCAGGCAGATGGCAGCCTTGAGTGAAACAAACACAGAAATTGCTGGAGAAACTCGGATGGTCTGGCAGCATCTGTGGATATAGAAACAGAGTTAACATTTTGAGTTCAGTATGACTTCTTCGGTACTTCAAATTTTGATTTTGTTAGCCTTAAGTGTGAGACTGGGGACTCATGCCAGCTCTGCTTTACTAAGTCAAGATGATGCAACTGCCTACCAAACATTGTAGGTATATCTGTTCCACTTGCACTGCAGTGGCTCAAGAAGCCTTCTTGGTAGGAATTAGTGATAGGCCAGTTTTAATTGCATCCTGTCGAAGATTTGAAAAATAGAGTTGTTGTTACTATCTTTGATCCTGTAAATTTTGCTTTTCTTTTACAAAAGAGAAAATTCTGTTTTGGTCTGTCTTTTATGTTGTTAGGAGCTTCCATGCACTTCCTGACAAAAGGTCCTTGTTTTGAGATGTTAACTGCTGTTTCTCTCCACAAATGCTGCCGGATCTGCTGGGTTTTTGCAGCATTTTCTATTTTTATTCATGTAGGTGAACCATCTGGTCTTGAAATGGAAACATGGTGGTCTACCTCTTTTGATAAATTTAAAGTTAAAGTTTTTATATGTGAGGTGGGATGTGACATAGAATCAAAAAATCTCGAAGGACATAAGAGGCCCTTCAGTTAATCGAGCTAGTACTGAAAACTGTGCTTTCTTTTGTAAAGCATATGAAGATCCTTAAATGATTGCATCTTCTTATTTTAAAATAAGATCAGAATGTATTTTGTTCATGATTTGTAGAAAGACTGCTTCCAGCTGCACTCTTCTTTCTGTTTTAATAATGTGTTCCTGGCCAGTAAAGGTATCAAGCCTGTTTGTTTTCATTGGTACCTTTCTGCTATCGGAATATTATCGGAACTAATATATGGAAATAGCTTTAAATGTTTTCAGTTTATGATTTCAAATTGTATTTTATAATATAGGTAGAGTAGTGATAGCATAACATTGTATTCTCATATGCCTACTGCAGTGTCTGTATGATTGAAGACCATTGCCTTGTATTCATACTGGCAGCATACATTCTGCATTAAATAGTGGTCTAACTGTACTAATATATTCTTAGATATTGTTGGGACCTTCACAACCTCTTTGGCAGCAAACCTGTTGAGTGACCACTTCCAAAGTAAACTAACCAAAGTCTGAAGTTCTATGTACAGATAGCGTTGGACAAGCATAGATGATCAGAAGTGGAGCCATGCGCTCTGGTTCATTGAGAATCTTCTGGGGTGGTGCAATGACTCAGTGGTTAGCACTACTGCCTCAGTGCCAAGGACACGGGTTTGATTCCACCCTTGGGTGACTATCTGTGTGGAGTTTGCACATTCTCCCTGTGTCTGCGCGGGTTTCCTCCTAGTGCTCCGGTTTATTCCCACAGTCCAAAAATGTGCAGGTTAGCTGGATTAGCTGTGCTAAATTGTCCATAGTGTTTGGGGATGCACAGGCTAGGTGGATTAGTCATGGGAAATGCAGGGTTACTTGGATGGGTTAGCCATGTGGGTGGGATGGTCACTGTGGACATGATGGGCCGAACGGCCTACTTCAACACTGTAGGGACTCTTGTGATTCTATGATGTCTTGGAAGATACAAACTCATAGATACTCGAGAGCATCTGGACAAAGGATGTGATTTGAGTGAAGCAAAATGGCGAAACACAAAAGAGGGTAATTGATTCTTTGGATAACATCTGGTTTCCTTAATCAAGAAATCACATCAGATGAGTGGCTAACAATACTAGAAAAATAGAGGATAGTATTCACCACAGTCGAATACAATAGAAATAATCACATATGCTTAACTCCCGCTTGCAAAAGAGTACAGATATTTCAATTCCACAAAAGGAAAATTGATGGTATAGTCTTACAGAAAGAGCTAATATGCTATGCCAGCAGAAATTGGTTGGCACCTCATTTTTGAGCTTTTATTTTTCTACTTTAGTCGCTCATCTTCATTATGTTATGTTCCTTCATTGTTATGAAAGAAATTGCACTAAGGCCAACATATTCTTGTGAAAGGCTGCACCCCATAGCCCTGCTGAAAACCATTATAGACCCATTTAAAAACTTAAAATATCACTGTACTGCAGGATGATTTTTCAACATTAGATTTAATTGAAATCAAACAAAGTGTGATTTGTTTTTTCAGTGTTACATTATAATCATCAAAGGGTTTTTAAGAAGTGTGTTATGGGGTGTTGGATCTCCCTTAGGAGTTTTACAAAGTTTTGGAAACAAGTGGGATTTTCTATTTGTACTCAGGGTAATTTTTACATTTTAAACATGAAGATTTTCATTCCCTTCCTTTTTGGGTACCATGACCAGCTAAACCTTCCTGTTGAGAGGGAAATGAGATTTTTTGAATCTAAAGCAAGAAATAGTCAGCATTAGAAGGTTTTTTTTTAGAAAAACAACACGTAATTAGATAGTAGTGTTTGAATGAAAATGTGACACTCATCTTGGCATGGTTTGTTATGTCCAGCTGTAGCTGGACTGAGGTATTCTGACCTGGTGTTTGGAGTCACTTTCACTGGTCTCCACTTGAAATTAAGAAAAACAAATACTGCAAATGCTGGAAATCGGAAATAACAAAAACAGCTGGGGAAAAACTCAGGAGGTCTGAATGCACCTGTAGAGAGAAACAGAGATAATGTTTCAGTTTGATCTTTCATCAAATGTTAATTCCGTTGCTGATGGAATTCTGATGCAAGGTCGTCAATCTGAAACAATTACTGTTTCTATCCACAGAGATTGTTAGACCTGCTGAGTTATTTCAATATTTTTTGTTATATTTCCCTTAAGGTTTGAAATTATTATACTGTCTCTGCTTTGAAAGATTTTGTATTATTAATAGCTTACGTACTTTATCCTTCCAAAGGTTAGATATTATGGTAACTGGCTGAATTGCTACAAAACAAACCTTAAAATTAGTTTGACAAATAAATGCAGAAAATACTCAGTTCTGGCAGCATCTGCAGAGAGAAAAACCATGTCAGCATTTCAGGACTGACCTTTCCTAAGAGGTTCTGATGCTGCCTGACCTGAGTATTACCACCATTTTCTGATCTTTAGTTTAGATTTCCAGCATTTTGTATTTGAAGGTAGTTCTTTGTCTGTCAGTTGTTCTGGCATACTATGCTGTGTAGGTGCTAGTTCTTATAAACTGTCAGTGATGTTGTAATGGTGAATGTGGGTCAGCCAGTAATAACAATAGCATATCAAACAGATATCATGGTGCATCTTTTTATTATTGTTTCTTCAAGGGATTTGGGCATCAGTGGTTAATGCAGCATTTATTGCCCTGGAGAAGATGGTAATGAGCTGTCACCTTGAATTGCTGCAGTCTTTGGACTATATCGGCCTTCACTGTGCTGCTAGGAAGGAGGCTTTGAATTTTGATACAGCAGCAATTGATAAAGTTCCAACTTCCAATGGAAGTAGGGGCAAAGTCCTGACTGGTCAGTGTCATGCCTAGCACAAAGAAAGGTGATTATGTATGCTGGATGTCAGTCATCTAAGCTGCAAGACATCTCTGCAGATGTTCCTCAGAGTAGTGTTCTAGGCCAAACTATGTTTAACCACTTTTTCAATGACCCACTGTCCGTCATAAGATCAGAAGTGGGGGATGTTCACCTATGGTTCCACAATGTTCAGCGCTATTCACAACTTGAATACTGAAGCAGTCCCCAACAATACCTGGATGATATCCAGGCTTGGGCTGACTTGTGGCAAATAACATTGCCTGGCGCTTGTGTAGCAATAACGAGCATCTCCAGAAAAAGAATTTAACCATTGATCTCAACATTCAATGCCATGACCATCACTGAATTGCTCACTACCAACATTGACCAGAAACTGAATTGGACTTGCCATATATAAATAATGTAGCTACTAAAGTAAGTCATTTGGAATTTTTGTTGTACTGCCTCACTGCTTAACTCCCAAAGCCTGTCCACCATTTTAAATAGCGCAAGTCAGAAGTCTAGGAGCAAATTATGCAGATGCTGGAATCTGAACTGAAAACAACAAATGCTGATGATCACAGCAGGTCTGGCAGCATCTATGGAGAGAGAGCAAACTAACATTTTGAGTCTAGATTACTCTTCTTCAGAGCTGTAATGAAATGCTCCCTTCTTGCCTGGATCAGTGCAGCTCCAATAATGTTTTGGAAGTTCGACACTTCTGGACAAAGCAGCCTGCTTGATTGGCACCACATCGAACAATTATTCACTCTCTCCACCAACACGGAATGTCTGCAATGCGTATTGTGTACACGATGCATTGCGAAAGTTCACCAAGCTTTTTAAACAGCAGCTTCCAAATCCACAACCATTTCCATCTAGAAGGACAGTACAGCAGATACGTGGAAACAGTGCTACCTATAGTTTCCCCTCCAAGCCACTTGCCATGCTGACTTGGAAATATATTGTCATTCATTCACTGTTGCTGGGACAAAATCCTGGAACTCCTCCTTCAACACATTGTTGGCATGCCTATACAAAATGGGCAGCAGTGGTTTCAGATGTCACCCACCATTACCTTTGAGCAATTATGGTAATAAATGCTTGCCCAACCAGCGAAATTCTGAATATTGACTTTTTTTTAAAAGTCAAGGTAGGGTGTGGCTTCGGATGGATCATACAGGTGGTGTTTCCATTATATCTTTTGCCTTTGTCCCTTTAGTGGTAGTGACACTAATAAGTTACTGCAGTGCGTTGTGTAGATGGTGCCACTGTGGGTGAGGGGAGTAAATGTTGAAAGTGGAAACTGGGGTGCCGATCAGGCTGGCTGCTTAATCCTGAAATGTGTTGATTACTTTGAATTTTGTTGGAGCTGCGTGCATCCAGGCAGCAGGGAGTATTCAGGCACACAATACAGAGAGGCCTGTATAGGTTGATCGTGGAGAAGATGTTTCCACTATTAGAGGCTAGGACACAAGGACACAGCCTCAGAGTGAAGGGATGGCCCTTTAGAACTGAGATGAAGAGGAATTATTTCAGCCAGAGGATGTTGAATCTGTGGAACTTATTGCAGCAGATGGTTGTAGAGGCCAAATTGTTGACTGTATTTAAGGCAGATAGGTTCTTGATTAGTAAAGGAATCGAAGATTATGGAGAGAAAGCAGGAGATTGAGGTTGAGAAACATATCCGCTATAACCAAATGCAGAGAAGACTCACTGGGCTCAGTGGCTTAATTCTACTCCTGTATCTTATGGTCACTGATGACTTGTGCCTCTGACTAGGTTTTGTAGCCACAGTATTTAGTGGCTGGTTCAGTTCAGTTTCCAGTCAGTGGTAACCCTGAACCCTTAAGTGCCTTTTAAAGGCCTCTTCGTATCTATTACTCTGAATTCACCACATGACAACAGACAAATGTCTAACCAGTTATGGTCAAATACTGAAACAGAGTCTCTCACTTGATGACCAAAAATGAGGCCTCAGGATCCAGTTTCATTTAAATGAAACAATCTCAAAATCAATTATACATAAGGCATTCCTTTTTTACATACATTTCTTTATGAATCCTAAATATCTGCTGATTTTTTTAAAACAAAATTGAGGCATTAACAATTGCGAGTTGTATTATTACCTTCTGGAAAGGGAAACTGAAGCTTTTAAAGTACTTTGATAATCTATGTAATGTATCTTGTTATGTTAGGGGAGAAGCATTACAATCTGACAGCACAAGATATGGTAAAGTATTCTAAAAACTGTGATACAGTGAGTGCATTTTCTTATTTTGACTAGATGCAATATAATGGCAGCTGGGAAGAGTGTGAAGTACAATTCTCTGGTGCTTTTGTGCGAATGGAGCTCTTGTGGATTCACTGCATCTGGAATGGAAGATTTCAGCAATCACATTGCAGGCCATTTAAAGGATCAGGTTCAGGGGGATGAAAATGACATTGAACCACAAGGTAGGGTAACAGCGGTGGGAAAAATGTAAAAACATGATGTTTACAGTGTTTGATTAAAAACAAATAACTACATTATGCCATGCTGTATGAAAATAACTGAGGTACTAACCAAAAATATCTCAAATTTTTAAAAAATATTTTTTAGTTGCAGCCCTTGTTTTCCTTTGACTATTTTTCCCCTTATGTTTTTAAGTTGGGCTGTGTCACTGAGTGGCTAGTTTTCAGATATCCATTATTGCAACTCTGGAAGATATGCTGAAGTTTGTATTCCTGTTATAATCAGTGTACTCCTCTTTCCCCTTTTGTGACTGTACTTCGAAGGTACTTCATTGACTGTAAAGCCATTTGGAAATATCCGAAGCTGGGAAAGGTGTTTAAGTTCATTCTTTTTGAAAATTTTATGTTTTAGTATCCTGGCACTGAGGGGCAGACAGGCAGTGGAGATTGATGAGAATCTGGTAGTGGATGAGCAATATTAAATGATGGAATGAAATTCTGGGACGATCTGCAGTTTGTGAAATTTTAAAATTTGCATGACCATTTTCCCACTCTTCAGAACGAAATGCTTTATTAGAAATATTCTGAAAAGTATTTGTTATTTTTCATCCAATAAATGTGGGTAAACTCACATTTTAACTTTAACACACAGTTTTTCCTTTCAAGCTGCCGAAAGCATGCTGTATTGTCTGGAAATACATTTTTGTTATTGTTAATGTAGCTGATTGAAACAGAAACATAATTTTGAATTGCCCAAATTCTAAACATGACAACAGAAATAGAGATGTGTTCGATGTTAGCACCATTACTGCTGACCTATATTACGATGTCTACTATTTTAGACCTCAGCAGTTTAGGAACCCACCATTTCTATTTGCCCCTCATTCATTTAATATTGGACACAGTTGTACAAGTGACCGTATTGTAAAATCACCTGTAGATTTTTGCTATTGCACCGACCCAATCAAATGAATCGGCCATTCAGAAATGGCAAGAAAGAACTAATAAACTACACAAAGTGTGCAGAAATCCTGTAATTAAACAGAGTGAGTTACGGAAAAATTCAGTACAGCATAATGCTGTGAATGAATAAGAGAAAAAAAGCATTTTTTCCTTTAGAACAAAGCTGCATCTTTGTCAAAGGTAACTAGAGATTACTCTGACTTGGGTGCTGGAAGATTAACCTTATTTTTGTTTTAAACGTGAATTTTTTTTTTTTTTTGCCTGAGCAGAATAATCTTGGTTGTGCTGATCCCATTTTGTATGATTGTTTCCTAGAGGAGCACCAGTGTCTGTGGGCAGAGTGTGGGTTCTACTCAGTGGAGAGCTCAGCTGACCTGATCCGTCATGTTTACTTTCATGCTTACCACACAAAACTGAAACACTGGGGTCTGCAGTCCCTGCAGGCTCAGACTGAACTTGAACACTGCCTAATGGATCAGCAGAGCCGCAACGTCATTCCAGAAATCCCAGAGAGTTTTGTTTGTCTCTGGGGTCACTGTGATGTAAGTCAACCGTGCAAATCTGAATTGTCTTTTCATATCCACTACTCCATGCACTCTTGTTTATGTCAGTTTTAACCTTGAGATTTTTTTAAAAGAGTGGTTTGAATTTCAGTGATTAAACATAAGAATTTCTAGAGTGAGCAGGATTATGCTAGATCAGAAATGTGATGTGCTCTGGGAGAGGAAGTTAGTATTTCTAAACATTCACACGTGCAGCAGAATTCCGGCTCTCATGTTATCCCTGCAGCATCTTTATCGGTGCAGAAGCAAAATGCTGCAGATGCTGGAAATCTGACATAAAAACAGCAAATGCTGGAAACATTCTGCAGGTCAGACAGACTCTCTGGAGAGTGAAACAGTTGATGTTTGACCTTTCTTTGGAATTGAAGCATTGAATTTGTTTCTCTTGTTCCAAGATTTCCTCATCCAATGGCAGAGAAAGCTCGAGGGGCCAGATGGCCTATTCCTACTCTAGGTTTGTGTATTATATGTTTGTATTTTTACTGACCGATGTTTGTTACTGGCAACTGGAAGAAGCTCCCATTAGTTGTAAACTATTAAAATCAAGTCCTAGAAGGGAGATGACCTGATTTGTGCTGGTTCCTACTATTCTACACTAATGGTGAAATTGGCACAGATTGCATATTGTTTTTAACAGTTTCTAATGAACTATTTGGGCTTTCTCACTTTATTCAGTCTTTCTACTTTCTCCCTAGAGCACTTTTGAAAATCCAGAATGGTTCTACAGACACGTGGATATGCATGGAATGTGTTCAGACCGGGATGCAACCACAGATTCTAATCTAATAATTCCCTGCCGTTGGAAAGGTGAGTTCTTGTGGAGTTCTGTTTGTTTCCACCATTCCTATTTTACAGTTGGACCCATTTGACCACGATGTGATGCTTAATGGAAATGACCCTTGACAATTTAAATATGAAAGAACCTGTCACGAGTACAAAGCATCCCAAAGAGCTTTACAGCTAATGAATTGCTTATGATATGTATTCACGCGTCTTGTGAAAATCTGGCAGCAAGCTCCCCTTCATAGGAGTGATTCATTTCCCATTGTCTGTGTCTTTAGATTGTGATGCAACTTTCAGAGTGAAATTTAAGCTTCGGGAACATTTACGTAGCCACACACAAGAGAAAGTAGTGGCATGTCCCACCTGTGGAGGAATGTTTGCAAGCAACACCAAGTTTTTTGATCACATCCGGAGGCAGACGGCCATGGAATGTAAGTAAAATATCTTTGGATCATTGAAAGGGATGTGGTTTCTTAGAGGCATGATTTAATTTATTTCGAGAAACAGGAAATCTGTTTTTTGAAGCATAGCGTTTGTTTGTTACCTGAAACCAATTTGGAACTTGGAAATGATATATATAACATGGCTGCCAACCACTGCATAATGGCTGTAAAAAGGCTGAAATTCTTTGAATGTAAAATCTGAACACGAGATGTTAATCGGCTTCTGGAGGGCATTGACTTGTTGTCCCAGTGTGATGATATATTGTGCTAGTTATTTATAATGTAATTTATAATTTTGATGTAAAGCCACGACTTTAAACTGGGTTGTGGTTGAGCATGCCATTTAATGCTATTGACGTAGATACACAGCTTCACAAAGACAGCGTGCAGATGCCCGTTTTTACATGGTACAGATCCTAGTTCTAAATGTACTATATATTGTGCATCATTCTTGTCTTGGTAGACCAACGCTTTCAATGCTCCCACTGTTCAAAGCGGTTTGCCACTGAAAGGCTACTCAGGGATCACATGCGGCATCATGGTAAGCAGAGTTTTATTGCTGTTGCTAATCTGCCTATCTGGGACCATTTTTTTTGCAAACTACAGGCCCTTTTAGCTACAATGTCTGTTTCAGAATGATGAATTATCAAACTTTCACCCACATCATTTACTACTTATTTTATAAGGATATACGACACTGTCTAAGATAGGTGAAAACGTGTTGGGTATTTACCTAGTGGAAAGTGGGGAGGAACAAATGAAGGGAAGGTCAGGGAAGGGATAGTGGGTGAGGGAGATTAGACAGTACAAATATCAGAATATAAGGCAAAGTGAACGATAATGGTTGCAGAGGAGAGAGGGGTCCAGAGTTGGTGTTAGGCCCTACCTAACAGCTTAAGTTAAGTTGATTAACTTAATGGTTAGTTGAAATAAACCATACTATTACCCTCCACTCAAAAGAAAGCTCACTTCTCTCAAATCAAATTCGGATATAAAAACCTTGCAAATCAATAGGAAGAAATTAAAACGTTGTGATAATAGTTCCAGTTGTTTTCTATACAGAAGAAATATCAGTCATCCTGTGTCTCAGTAAACAGTTGACTAACTTCATTGTGATGGGATGGATGAAATGTTCAGCTATGTTTGAATGAACATTTTGAATGATGGTTTGTTTTCTAGTGAACTATTACAAGTGTCCATTTTGTGATATGACCTGTCCAGCGCCTTCTGCCTTGCGGAACCACGTCAAATTCCGTCACAGTGACGAGAAACCATTCAGTTGCGAGTATTGTGAATACAGGTATAATCTTCAATTCAAATAGAGGTGCATTTTGTCCAATTATTTCAACAATACTATATTATTTTCTGCTTCCAGAAGTATAGGTTGGTCTGGGTTTTTCATAGTTATGTTTACTTGTGATGTAGCTCCTAAATTTTATATGATCTCCCTATTGTTTCACCAATCAACGTGTAAATTATGGTAAAATTGTATCCAATTGTAACCCTGCATAATCTTGATGATTTTTCTGAACTCATCCCCTCACTTTTTTATACTAATGGTGAAGGCTTCAGCTTCTCAAACATATATTCCTAACTTTGAATCCCTTCACACTTGGTAATGTGCTAATAAATCTGCTTGCAAGGTTTATGTTACTTTGATGTGGACTCCATTCATGCGTTGTGGAAAACTATGTGACGCACCGCAATTTTCCAGTCAGAATATGTTAAGGCTGCCTTTTATCCTACAATAACACCTATCTGTGCAAACTTTGTCTGCTTTATTCTATAGAATTGTAGAGGAATCCCTACAGTGTTGGGACAGGCCATTCGGCCCATCGAGTCCACACCATGCCTCCAGCGAGCATCCCGTTCAGACCCATTCCCCCGACCCTATCCCTGTAAGCCTGCATTTCCTGTGACTAACCCATTTAGCCCGCACATCCAGGGACACTGTGGGTAATTTAATGTGGCCAATCTACCTAACCTGCACATCTTTCGACTTTGGGAGGAAACCGGAGCACCTGGAGGAAAGCCACGCAGACATGGGGAGAATGTGCAAACTCCACACAGTTAGAGGTTGGAATTGAACCTGGGTCCCTATGAGGCAGCAGTGTTAACCACTGAGCCACCGTGCCTATGTTCCACTAATTTAACTCCAAGTATTTTATTTGCTAGCTGATGCCATCGTTTTCAGGAAACCACGAACTGGATTCATATGCTGCATTTCACGTATTCTCTTCCACTTCAGACTTTATGTTGTTCAAGCTTATGACTTATAGAAATGCTGTTAATTTAGCATGATGAATTTGCATTTCCAACTCAAAGACTAATTAGCCTATAATTTCCTTAGACTCTTTTAAAATAAAATGACCAGCTGTTTGGTGTAAGGTTCCTTCGTGACATTTTCAGAGCATTGACAGAAATTGCTGGTGAACCTCAGCAGGTCTGGTAGCATCTGTGGTAAGAGAAACAGAGTTAGTATTTCAGGTCCAGAGACCCTTCTTTAGATCTGATTTAAGCGAGGAGAATGTGAAGTAATAATTAGGCAAGAATAAGAAGGGAAGTGATAAGTAGGGAAGTGCTATTCTTCCAGCTTGTGCTGAGCTTTGCTGGAGCACTGCAGCAGGCCTGAGACAGAGATTTTAGCCAGGGAACAGGGAGGTTTGGTGTTTTTAGTACGAGCTTGGAAGCAATGGTGGGGGAGATCACCAGATGAAATGAGATTAGTGACTGGCAATATACAGTAGCTTAGTGTTCCATGGTGGGGTCATGGTCTGGGGGAGATATCTTTTTCCCATGAGCTTGGGCAGTGGAAGTCTTCATTTTCTGCATGGGAACCCTGCCATCTTCTGGAGTCAATATTGAATTTATCAATTTTAGGGCTTTGACACTTCCTCTCATATCCCTACGCCCACCTTGGCCTTGTCATCACATGGTTCACTATCATAAACAACCCACTGTCAGTCACTAATGGTCCGTATTAACAGCAGTTCATTCTCCCAAGCTGACCTTTACATATTCCTATGTCTGCCCAATTGTTTTCTCTCTCTCCCCATCCACCCACCTACCCACCACCACCGCCAACCAACCCCACCCCATCCTCAGCACATCAACCTCTCCTAGCTATAATTAGTTCTGAAGAAGGGTTTCTGGACCCGAAACGTTAACTCTGGCAACATCTGTGGAGAGAGAAACAGACCTGCTGAGTTTTTCCAACAATTTCTATTTTTGTTCCGGATTTCCAGCATCCATAGTTCTTTGGGTTTTCTTTTTTAGCACGTTATGTTTGGACCCACTGTTTGTTATGTAACTACCTGTAGGTCCATTAAGTGTAGGCAGTGACTACTTTTTATTGCACAATCCCAGTTCCATCTTCCAAGTGATACTTGATGGCAAAATACATAGGAACTTAGAAAATAGCAGAAATAGTATAAATCTTTCCTCTTCATGAATAAGTCCCTGTTCTTATCATGGCTGTCATTTTACTAGTAATGTATCTGCTGTGTGTCATTTAGATTTTTTTATGCTAACGTTCCCTGCTGTGTTTATCTGTGCTAATTGCATTATTATATAGCCTGGCTACAATCTCTTTATATTCCCTGTTGAAACTGTAAAGTGCCCTCGTGTACTCTCTTTATTTTCTGCCTTCCTTTTAAATTAATTGAATCATGCTTAGTGTTTTCCAAATGCTACTTAGTTTCCAGGTTGCCTACAGCTCCTTTCAATAACCAGAGCACGGTCATGCAGTGATTTCTGATTGAGAATCCAAGTACTGACATCGAGCAATCCTAATTAACCTACGTGACATATATTCCTTTCTTTTTCCTCTTCAGTCATCTTTGGATAATTCAAATGTCTTCAATTACAGCTATTATTTATACCTACCATTCTTTTTTTTTAAATTTCAATCTTTCCACTATTCAGCAGCCTGTAATAAACATCTCGTAATGTGACCAATCCCATGCTATTCCAAATAATTTCTGTTTGGATGTCTTCTCCATTTGTATTCTTTAGTCTCTGGGATCAAGTAGGATGTAGGAGCTGTAGAATCCTAACATTTTCCCTTAAGGTCTTTTGTTAACTTTCTGTGGAGAATAGATGCATATCTACTAACATTACAAAACCACTTGTGATTATACAACAAAAACTGCATATTTGAGAAAGGAGGCCAGCGTTCCTAATGATAAATCTGTTATTTACATTGAGTGATTATCTATATTATTGGGGGTTTTGGATATTTATATCAAAAATATTTTGAAAATGATTATTGCTGTAATGTGTTTCTTCTCAGCTGCAAGAATTTGGTGGATCTAAGAAAGCATTTGGATACACACAGTGAGGATCCAACCTACCGCTGTGAGTTTGCAGGTTGTACGTTCACTGCACGATCCCAATATTCCATCAAGTCCCATTACAGGAGGGTACATGAGGTAAGCAGTTGAAGGGATTGCAGTATTTTGCAGCTTTTTTAAAGTGAAATCTGCAAGATCCAACCGCTACACTTACAATCCACCCATAAGAGTCTCCCACCTGAAATGGGATGTTGCATCAATAAATAAAAAATATTCCGTTGCAACCCGTGCAGTGATTGTGTTTGACCATTGCTGATACCAAGTTTAAAGCTAATGCAATGTCAAAATAATGCCGCTGCACTTGATATGTTATATTTCTCAATATATTTGGTTAATAAGCGCTAGTTTGACTCCTTGAGTGTATTCCTTGTAGAAAATGGACGAGATGACGGCATCAGTCTATTCTGACATGTCCATTATGCGTGATTGTAGGTGAAAGCAGAATTGCTTGCTTTCTGTCTGTCACCTTTCCTCGATCTCTCTGTCCTAAACACAATTAGAAAAGCAGGCAGGTGAGTAACATGGTTTAAACGGCTCTGAAGCAGTCTATTAGACATGTCTGCGGCAGCAGTTAGCTGACACTATGGATTTTATGTTTCTCACGTTATTAACCCTGGATTTGTTAGCTTCAGCCGCTTTTTGATTTAGATCTTTTGTAAAGGCACAGTAACTCTCAAAAAACCAATTCCCAAAATTAGAGGATTGAAATTTTCATTACTTTTTTTAAAAAAAGTAGGAGCCAAATAACTTTAATTCTTTATATCATAAACTCTTCTCTGTGTGTTTGATATGGGCTCTGTCTTTAATAGTAGTTGTGGCTACAGTTTAGCTTTGTCATTGTGGCTCCCAACTAATTCAGTGTCACTGGCTTGTCCTTCCCAGGGGGATAAGGAACCTAGATACAAATGTCATGTTTGTGACAAATGTTTCACGAGAGGTAACAATCTGACTGTGCACCTCAGGAAGAAGCATCAGTTTAAGTGGCCTTCAGGTCACCCACGATTCAGGTATGTTAATAAATTGTATGTTTTCTTCATGTTATTGTGTCACTTTTTGTTTCATATTGTCACATCACCTTGTCCTATTTTATGAGGTCAATTAGCTCAGTTGGCTGGACAGTTGGTTTGTGATGTAGAAGTGATGCCAACGGCATAGGTTCAATTCCCACACCAGCTGAGGGTCTGTGGAAATCTTTCCTTCTCAACCTCCCCTTGCTTGAGGTGTGGTGACCTTAGGCTAAGCCACTACCAGTCTCTCGCTAATGAGAGCAGCCCTATGACCTGGTAGAACTATGTGACTTTTATCTCACGAAATGAGTTACTGCAGCCACGACTCAAAAATGCAAATTTGTTGCTCAAAGCTTGTCATGGAGTGAGTTAGTAGCCTCAGTTTTGATAACCATGAGCGTGACCGTTTTGAGGAATTGAATTGAGCTTATTGTTCTTGGCTCGTCCAGGGCATTTTGCAGTGCTGCTAAGTCTTTCAGCTGTGACTAAAGCAAAAATGTGTTTCATTCCCTAACATGGACATAAAGTCAAAAACAATTCTTCATTTCACAGTCCCTTTAGATTTGAACAAAGTATGCGCAAGCAAGTGTAGAAGCGAAATGTCCAGCAAAGTAGGTTATAAGTCACTAACTTTGGAGCAATGAGATATAGTAAGATTGCTCATCTGTTTCTTGAATCAACTGCCTAGGTTAGCTGTTTATTCTTTTATCCTTGGCTTATAAAAATCTATTAGTCTCCGATTGAAAATTATGAATAGAGCTAACATCCACTGCTTCTTGTGGGATATTGTTCCACATATCCATCACCTGTTGTGGAAAAATGTTTCTAATTTCCCACCTGAATGGCTGTGGTTTTGTTGTTACGTTTCATAGTCATACCTGGAGGTGATGTACCTAATTTTAGCAGAGGTGGATAGATTCTTGATGAGTGGGGCGATGGAAGGTTATCAGGGGTGGGTGGCAATATGGATTTGCAGTGACAACCAGATCAGCCATGATCTTATTAGGGGGCAGACTAGGCTTGAGGGGCCATGTGGCCTCCTCCAGCTCAGTGTTTGTATTTATAACCTCAGGAAAGCATTCTCATAACATGGTTTGGCTTGTGGGTGTCACATTGGCACACAAATTGATATATTTCTGAATTCACATCAACAATGTCCCATGTAGTGGCTTGTGAATCTTAACTATTACAGGCCATTTCCTTTGAGGGAGAAGGTAAAAAAGAACCTTTTCCCCAACTGCTTCATCCTCAAGATCCAAAAAGTGTCTCTGCTAACTTAGATCTTGTTTTAATGGACGTAAGAGCTGGTTAACTATTTGTCTCTGTCTGGATGGCTGACGAATTTTTCAAGTTGAGGGTAGAGCAAAGAGAAACAATGTGGGGCATAAACTGCCTGCTCTCACCGCTTGCATTAATGTTCATTCCTTAGATACAAAGAGCATGAAGATGGTTACATGCGGCTGCAATTGGTACGATATGAGAGTGTTGAACTGTCTGAGCAGCTAATGAAAGACCGGGAAAAGCAGGACGGCCGCATGGACAGCATGTCAGAGAGTTTGTTTTTGTCAGAAGCTAACTTAAGAGGAATTATACTAGAACCGCTTGAAGAGTCAAACAATGAGGAACAAAACACAGGGAAGCACAGTCCCAATACTCTGAACTGCTGTACAGCTGAGACCTTGGAACAGCCAAGTCCTAATGAGGTTGCTGGCGGGGGACAGCTCCAACAATTGCAGTTGGATTCCCCTGACACAAATAAAAGTCCCATCATTCGGGTGGTCAATCGGACAAATGAGTATGGAGAGAATGAAACTGTTTATTATGTTCTGACCAATGCACCACCCAGCCCAGGTAATGCTGAAGTATCTGGTGAAGACATGAATATGGAGATTGAGGGAACCTCGGCTGACAATATAGAAAAGACTGCAGAAGAACTAGGCATTCAAATAATTGGTTAGGATTAACTACCCACTCACACCGCTGCTGTTTTTCTTGATGAGAATCTTTACTATTTGGTCTGATCTGTATATGCTGTTTTGCTCGAGTCAAGAATGAGCTTTGTGATGTGTCGATTTGGTTGGCAGACACAGACTGTATTTATGGTGGTCATTTTTTTAATATACCCCTCCCTTCAAAGCAAGATGTTCATTATGTTCTGTCTGTAATGCTGTCAGATGCAATGCAATCCCTTTTCAATTATACTCAATCACTGGATCAAACAAATCTATTGGGAAGTAGATTTTGACAGGTGCTGGATGGTCAATGTCAATGCAAGTGCAGTTCTCAGTACTTTTCTTGTGTAAAAATCCTCTATTATTGCTGTTCATTTTTGTGAAATGTCTTTTTTTTTGGCCCTGCCATCCAACTCACAAACAAGTCCTACTTGTTCTTATTCTGAGTAGAAATTGCTGTAAAAATTTCCTCTCTGTTTCCCTAGGGTCTGACATTACACAGAGGAATAACAGGATAATTTGGGGCCCTTTTACTTGTAAGCCATTGATTTATATTATCTTGATCCAGCAGTATTTACTTCACACATTGGCTGTTTATATTATATTAACATGATATTCAGCCAGTGCAGTAAAATCAGTGTTTTCTGTAACAGTGGTATTTTACGTCTAGTTCCTTTGCATACTCCTGTCTTCACATCCTCATCCTCCACATTCTCTTCCTTCCACATTCCTGTTGTTAAGGACCTTTTGAACTCAAACGTCAGATATCTGATTATCATTGTGATTCCATTGGCCATCTTTTTAAGTTCATATTTTTCTAACTTGAATTTGTATTGTAGCTGCCCAAAGTCAAACAGAATTAAATAAACTGAAGCTGACTTGCATGCACCAAATTCAAACTAGCACGAACACTTAGATCCCAGGTTGCCATCTCCTTCAGCCAAGAATATGATGCAGCCTACTTCAGACTTCATAGTCTGTCCTTAGAATCTTGCACTACTTTTAAAAGCATCATTAACTACTGAGTAGTAACAAATGATGTAATGTGAGTTTCAAGTGTCGAGTTTGGCATGTAACACTTAGCCTGTATGTTTACCAGCTTGCTGTGGATTAATAATTGGACTAACATTCACAATGTAACTAATGCCACATATGCTTCTAAGAAGGTGGCGTTATTTTGATGAATTGGAGGGTAGATTTCTTGGGAAAATATTAAAGTTAAGCATTCTAATAGTTATAATTGTTGAGTTAAATCATTATTGTGGATTAATTTGTGTTAGAATAGTGTGGTGAGCAAGTTTGCTTAATCTGCTATTCACTGGCGTGCACTTAGAGGCAATCCTAAACTTTGTTTTGGCCAATTTGTGAATTGCAACTTTGTCTTGATCAATTCCCTACAGTGTTGGCCTGTACTTGCTTATCCCTGAGCTTATGGCGAGCACCAAAAGACGCTCGGCCTCCACTCAGTATCTTCCTGTGTTTAGGAAGACAGGTAAGTGCAGTGCAGTACTGATTTTGCACATCAGTGACCTTGTCTTGTATTCTATGGGAGGGCTGGGATTTTACATTGCTACATGTCTAATTGGTGCTCTGAAGTGACAATGAAGAAATGGAGTGTGTCAGCAGTGATAACTTGTAATTGCAATTAAGCACCTTTAATGTCCCAAGGTACTTCAGAGGAGCATTATCCAACAAAACATGACGCCAAAACCATGAGATATTAGGACAGAGATAGGTTAGAAGGGGTGCTTTTGTAGAGGATAATGAGATGAGAGTTTTAAGGAAGGAATTCTGGAGCTTAAGGCCCAAGAAATTGAAGGCAGGCTACTAGTGGTGGATTAATGAAAGTGGGGAAACCTCAGCAGCCCAAGATAGAAGCAGTGCAGGAATTTTTGGTATGCAGCATGGCAGCAAAAGAAAATTATCTAGGTACAAATAAATACAACTGAAACATAAATTTGTTCCTCCCAAAGGCTCAGCTGTCATGCCAGCATCACGTGCCAGTTTTGTACTCCTAAATGGCCCTGGTGGTTCTACAATCCCTCCCTGTTTTGGGGAAGTGTGTGGTGGCGTTAGTGAATAGACTATCATTTGCTGTCCTGAATGCAACCCTGCATTTTCTGGTGGATGTGCATATTTGAATTGGGGTAGCATTCAACTCAGCTGAGTGGATAATGGCTGAAAACAACCACCAGAGAGCAGTGACATTATCAGAAAGATTTAAATGGGAAATTAATAAAAATAGAACGAAAAGAATTGTGTTAATATTTCCGTTTTAGTGGGGGCATCATGCAAGTACAATTTCACAGTACGTTTAAGTGTATGAGCATGTTATTCCTGTTTATTTTGGAAGTTAGAAACTCCAGCCTGGATTATTTCGCCCCTTCCATTCATAGTTCATTATGCTGGGCACGGGAGGAGGATGCGGCATGTTTTCTGAGCCAGAGCCAAACTCTCCCTGCTAAAATGTGGCACCCCATCATCTTCAAGCGAGCTTATGCTGTAGAATGCATGTGTGGGTAAGTATGCCATCAGTGGATTTTAATAAAGGCAATATGTCTTGACGTGTTTCTCATCCTCAGTAACCTTGCTCCCAGGAATTAATGGGTAACACTTAAAGAGCAATCCATCACACTGACTACTAAGGATTTAGTTATTAAATTTTAACAGAATTTGACTTCTGTTTTACATGCAGTGTGAGAGACCTCTGCAATGCAAAACTGATTGCTGCAGTAAAACCTTTTCCAGGGTCCCAAGCGTAGGACAAGGAGAATATCTGAAATTATCCAAAATTGGGGAGGTCACCAGAATTTCCACCTTGCTGGATATGTGTTTCAATTTAAAAAATGGCAGACCACTCCCTCCACTCATCGTACAATAATGTTTTAGTGATTTAGTCAGATATTGCTAAATGTAAATTCTGTGCTACCTGGGCTAAATTGTTTACTGGTGCCTTCAGTTTGTCAGGAGCTGTGCTGTCTGTTAAAATGAGTCAAAAAAAGGTTAAATTAAGTATAGAGATAGTAAGAACTACGGATGATGGAGGAACACAGCAGGCCAGGCAGCATCAGAGGAGCAGGAAAATTGACGTTTCAGGTTGGGACCCTTCTTCAGAATGACCCCCAGTTTAGTATGTGGTGTCTCTTAAATACCTACTGCGATCACCTGGCAAGCCACTCAGTTGTGCACAACCACTAACTAGGGACCATCTTGGCAACAACAACGGTGAACATGACCTGGTTGATCTGGAGGCTTGTGCCGGAACTGGGAGAGCATCATAGTTGACTTCATCCTTATCAATTTACCTGCAGTAAATTTGAGTCCATGACAGTATCAGCAGGAGTGACCACTGCAGTGAGCACTTGAGGCCAATATCTTATTGTGTTGTTTTATGTTACTTCCATGCTAAATGGGATAGATTTCGACTAGATCTACCAATTCAACTGGGCATCCATGAATCTGTGGACCATTAGTATATGGGAAAACCTCTTAACATTTCTTGAGCTGAAACAATCCCCATTAACCATAACTGCTTCCCCTCCATCAGCCAATTTTGTATCCACGTTGCAACTGCCCCTTTTATTCCATATTCAATAACTTTCTTTACCATGCTCAAAAACAAAGTTGCTGGAAAAGCTCAGCAGGTCTGGCAGCATCTGTGAAGAAAAAAAATGAGAGTTAACGTTTCAGGTCCAGTGACCCTTCCTCAGAACTGATGGTGGCTGGGAAAACCTCAGTTTATACACAAAATAGGGAGGGGATGGGGTTGGGAGTAAATGCTAGGATAGAGCCTAAAGAGAGAGGAGAGCAGTCGGACAGACAAAGAGTCGATAACGATCAGGCTGGGTGGGTGAATCCTGTACACAAAGACCTCCGCTTTATTCCTCTGCATCCCCACCTTAACAAATTTCGGGCACAACATGACGCAGAACTCTCCTTCCCACCGCCTTTGCCTTCATGCCCATTTCCTTGGGCAAGAATCCTCTCCTGTCCCACAGACCCCTTTGCCCAGTTCCAACACTCTCCCTCCACCTGGACCCCTCCCTCCGGCCTTTTACCTACACTCCATCTGTTCATTGAGAACTGTCAACGTGATATTAGTCACCTCAATTTCTCTGCCCACCCCCTCACCCCTCACCCCATCTCCTTCCAAATTGACTGCACTTCATGCACTTAGATCTAACCCTGACTTTGTTATTAAGCCTGCCGATAAGGGTAGTGCTGTTGTAGTCTGGCGTACTGACCTCTACATTGCAGAGGCTGAGCGCTAGCTCTCAGATACCTCCTCCTATCTTCCCCTGGACCATGACCCCACCATGACACATCAGGCCACTGTATCTACTACAGTAGACCTCATTTCATCCGGTGATCTCTCCTCCACTGCCTCCAAACTGATAGTCCCCCAGACCCGCACAGTTCACTTCTACCTCCTTCCAAAAATCCACAAACAGGACTGTCCAGGCAGACCCATTGTTTCAGCCTGGTCCTGACCCACAGAACTCACCTCTTCCGACCTTGACTCAGTCTTCTGTCCCCTTGCCCATGTATATCCGTGATTCTTACACATTCAAACTTAGGCAAGTTTGAAAACTTCCAGTTTGCAGGTTCCATTCGCCTCCTCTTTACCATGGATGTGCAATCCCTTTACATGTCCATTCCCCACCAGGAGGGTCGTAGGGCTCTCCGCTTCTTCCTGGAGCAAAAACCTGAACTATCCCCAAACACCACCATCCTCCTCCACTTGGCTGAGTTCATCCTCACCCTCAACAACTTCTCTTAACTTTTCTCACTGTCTTCAGGTAAGAGGGGTGGCATGGGCCCTGGTTATGCCTGTCTGTTTGTTGGGTACGTGGAACATTCCTTGTTCCAGTCCTATTCTGGCCCCCACTCAACTCTTTCTCTGATACATTGATGATATAGTCAGTGCTGCTTCCCCATCTCATCACGAATTGAAAAGGTTCATTGATTTCGCCTCCAATTTCCACCCTGCCCTCACTTTCACCTGCTTCATCTGACTCCTCCCTTTCCTTCCTCGACATTTCTGTTTCCATTTGTAGGGATAGACTGGCGACTAATATCCACTACAAACCCACTGACTCCCACAGCTATTTGGACTACACATCCCCACACCCCACTTCCTGTAAAGACTCCATCCCATTCTCTAAGTTCCTTCGTCTTCATCGTATACGTTCATATACAGCCAACTTTGACAAGGGAGCCTCGGAAATGTCCACCTTCTTCCTCAACCCGAGGATTCCCCAGCTCCGTTGTCGACAGGGCCCTCAACCAGGTCCGACCCATCTCCTGCACTTCCGCCATTACCCCTTCTCTACCCTCCCGCAACAGTGACGGGGTTCCCCTTATCCTTATCCTTACCCACCATCCCACTAGCATCTGCATCCAGAAGATTTTCCGCCACCTCCAGCAAGATGCCACCATCAGACACATATTCCCCTTCCCACCATTTTCTGCTTTCTGCAGGGACCGTTCCCTCCGGGACACCCTGGTCCACAATCCCTTCACCCCCAACACCTCCCCACAGCCCTACGGCACTAACTGGAAAAGGTGCAACACCTGCCCATTTAGTTCCTCCCTCCCAAGGGTCCAAACATACCTTCCAGGTGAAGCAGCACTTCACCTGCACTTCCCACAATCTAGTGTACTGCATTTGCTGCTCACAATGGGGTCTCTTCTACATTGGGGAAATGAAGCGTAGACTGGGTGACTGCTTCGCAGAACGTCTATGTTCTGTTTGCAAAAAAGATCCTGAGCTACCTGTTGCCTGCCACTTTAACGCACCACCCTGTTCCCTGGCCAACATCTCTGCCTCTGGCTTACTACAGTGTTCCAGCGAAGCCCAACGCAAGCTGGAAGAACACCTCATTTTCCGCTTGAGGACTCTGCAGCCCATCAGACTCCATATAGAGTTCAATCATTTTAGGGCCTAAACTCTCCCATATCCCAGCCCCTGACCCCACACACCAGGCCTTGTTATCACAGACTGCCATTACACATCCGCTGTTGTTAGTCACTAACAGTCCCCATTAACAACTATTCACCCTCCCAGCCTGATCGTTATCAACTCTGTCTGTCCAACTGCTCTTCTCCCTCTTTAGGCTCTATCCTATCATTTACTCCCTACCCCACCCCCTCCCTATTTTCTGCATATAAGCTGATATTTTCCCAGCCACCATCAGTTCTGAGGAAGGGTCACCAGACCCAAAACATTAATT